ACTTAAGCGGAGGAGCACTCGCAGGGTCAGCAGTAGATGCTGGAATATCTTTATTATAAGGTAAAGAAGAACAATTTGCAGATTTGTCCAAACAGAGACGTTTCCGTGGAGGTTGTTGAGTTCTCGCTGCGTTTATTTTATTTAGACTCGCTCTTCGCAGGGGACTTTTTTGGTGTTTGACGCCCTTTGATCTTTGGTTTTCCCTGAGTTTTTCACAACAGCAGCTTTTCTACCAGTAGGTTTCTTTCTCCCTAAAGTCACTGTGACAGTTGATGTAGCAGGGCCTAAACGGAGTAAGGTGTGAACACGCTCTTCTTCTGGTTGATTTCTATTGCGATGTGGGAAGCTGGCTTGATTTTCCCCATCTGCTAGACCAATTTTGATATCTTGTAGTCCAGGCTAGTACTTGCCAAAGGGTGGAAGGATTCATTGTTAACTGGTAGTGAGATTCTTTCTAATGCGGGTATTCTTTCCCTTGAATTGCTATTTGCTTCAGGGAGAGTCTGGATCACTTGTGGACTTTGAGATCTTATTAGCTCTCTAAGTGGATTTGGAGGTGGCGTGTGAGATGAGAGAGATCTTTGTGATCCGTTTTGAGCACCCTGAGGAGAAACGCCATTACCACGATGGTTAGTTGCTTTAGAGGAGTGATTATATTCCTTAGAGGCAGAGAGCCTGTCGTTTGCATCTGAGACTCTGTTTCGGTGAGAAGTAAGAGCGTGATTACGAAGTGGAGATGAAAACCCATAGCTAGTTGATCGATGATAGGGGTTGATTGCTGGAGTTCTTTGTGAAGAAGAGTCCAGAAGATGTCGGGGAATCCACTTGGCTTTTTCAGGTTGATGAACTGGGCGAGCTCTTTTACTATCGATGGAAGTTCGAAGATCACGCTGGGAGTGGGCAGGGTGTCTATAAGTATCTCTGGGATCCAAATATCTTAACTTCTCCTTTCATCATGTCTTTTCTTATCAGCTTCAATGCGGCTTAGAGTCCGTTGTTGATTGATGCCAAGGGGACGAGTTGCCTTTTGGGAATCAGGTGCCAATAGGGGGCAGGTGAGCTCATCATGAGTTAGAGAGAAACAGTGGAAACAGTGTTTTTTGAGTTTCTCATACTCTAATTCCACCTGAATAATCTCGCTGGAGGGAAGCTCAACATCTCTGACCATTTCGAGAGGTTGGAGACCGTTTACCTCCACGCGAACTCTCATCTGGTCAGCGTCTTTTGCTTTAATGGGCCCTAACTCTTCAGTTATAGCTTCTATAGTATCCAATGTATAGTAGTGTAGTGGAATTCCATGTATTTTAATCCAAAAAGCAATGGAAGAGGGGAAAGGTTGAGCGATAATGGGCTCCCATTTCTGAAGGATGAGCATCCATTTCCTGAAGTGGAAAGGGAACTTCGATAGAATGTCTTGAAGATCTTCCTCAGCAGTAAATTTGAACTGGAACGTGTCAGAGCCGAGACTTCTTCCCGTAACTCGGTTCTCTAGCTTCCAATATTGAGGCAAGTAGTCAACTACCGCTTGAGGTCTTTGCATAGTAGGATTAGTGACTCTGCCAATGAGTGTAAGTTGATGTTGAGCAATAAGGGAGGAGACATCTCTCTCTGGGATTCGAATTGGTGGCTTCCGAGCAAGCTTACTCTGATTTGGAACCCATTTGCCTTTTTCATGACGGGAGTAGCGATGAGACCAAAACATGCAGTTTAATAACTAATGTCCGTTCCAAATTGAGAAGACTATAGGATCAAAAATATCATAATCACAACATGCAATTTAATAACTAATGTTAATATCATCATTATATCACCCACCCATATTCAAATTCGTATATTGCTTGTTAAATTTTTTTGTTAATATTTATAACAATGTTATTTATAATGTTTGGATGATTAAAAGTTATGAATCCTACAAGTCTTTATTAGGAACTGAGATTGAACAGAAACGAAATCTCTCTTGAGATGAAGAAGACGAAGATCGTGAGAGGAAATGGAAATTATTAATGTTACTGTTAAGTGTAAATAAGCTTTACAATGTGTGTTATATACAAACATAATCTATCCGATATACCAATCTATGATATTTAATAGTCTTTAAATTAGTTTTGACCGCTAATATTGTTTATACATACAATAATGGAAAATTATACTAATTTTACTAGCCATTCTAGCTTTATTTTGGCACCTTTATTAATTTTGGTCAAGCAAAGGAAAAGGCATCCATATTCAAAAGAAAAATTGTCAAAATTATTTTTAAATATATTTCTGTATTTGATCGTGTCAAATTTTTTGGGTAATCTACAAATTAGTAGCAACTAGAAACTTTAGTTTTTAATTGGTTTCTCTTTGTGCAAATAATCTGGTTGGAAGTTGGAATTTCGATTCCAGATATGGCTAATCCCACAGTTTCTCCTTCTTCTCCTTATTCACTGATATGAACAACAACAATAACTACAACGTCACGAATCACGAATCTTTCTCCTCCTCTTGAATTCCTTCACAAGAAACCGCATTGAAACTTCTCGGAGAAATCAGAAATGTTTTCGTTTGTGGGTTTCGTCTTCATATCTGGATTTCTCCTGGGAATTTTCGCCATCTTGGCTGCTGAAGCAGCGGGATTGATGTATCTTGTGAAGCGATTGAATCGGAAGAGAGATCAGATGGAGTCAAAACTCGGTTCTGATTTATCTACCAAGGAATTTAATCCTCGTGAATCCATCGATTTCTGTCTCTTCAAACAGGTGATCGATCGATCGTAATTCCTATTTCTAGAATTATCCTTGAAGAATTGAAATTCTGGGTCTGATTTGGGAATGTGTGCATGTTGCTTCCGTTTCGAGAATTGAGTTCCTTTGTTAGTGTGTAGCTTTTAGGGTTGATTTGATTGTTGAAGTCATCGATTTCGACCGTGAATTGTAGTCGAAGTCAGAGGCAGGCGATTATTCTGTTGCTTGCATTTTGGTCCATCTTTGTGTAATGATGAAGTTTGTTTATTCCAGGGAGTGGTCTGGATTTTGGAGTTGGATGAAGGATTAAAGAATTGGATGAAGGAAAAGTTACCAAAAGAGCACAAGAGGAAGAGAGACGTCTTGGAGATTCACCCACTTCGGAAATTCGCTCGGATTAAAGATCATAACCTGGTCTTGTCAGAGGCTGATGGCACTCAGACTACGGTTTCTTTAAAAGGTTGTTCTATTGAGGCTGTTTCAGGGTCTGATCTTCCTACAAGAAAATGGTACCTCCTCTTTGTTCATGATCTTTTTGATGAATTTAGTAATGGTTTTGTGAAGCTTTGGTCGAATCAGGTCCTTGAAATGAGTATCGTTCGTAATTGTACTTGCTTATTTTGATCTTATCAGATTCTGGAACTTTTGATGCCAAATTTGATTGTTCTTCTGCTTTCACCTTCTTCTTAGGGCCAAAAGATTTCCTATAAAGGTTGAAAGCAACAATTCTTCGGCCTTATACAAGGGAAACCAGGTTTTTTACATCTATCTCGAGACTTCTTGGGAAAAGGAATCATGGTGTAAAGCCCTCCGTCTTGCTGCTTGCGAAAATCAGGAAAGGTTTATTTGGTACTCCACCAAATTGAAAGAAGATTTCCGTAGTTATGTGACGTCTCTTAATGGTGCATACCCTTCATTTATGAAGCCATCGCCTGTTTTTAGTTTTGAGACACTTGACAAAGGGAACAGAACGGACGGTTCTTCATCAAAGGTTCGCTTGTTCTTGAGGAAATTCTCAAGAAAACGATCACATCGTGAAGACAGGAAAACCGCTGTCCGTTCTTACCAAGATTCACAACATGGAAGTAGCTCAGGGAAGAGCATTCCAGGAAAAAAGATGGGAGATAATATCACAGATGAAACTGATGTGCCTACTTTTTCACGTTCTGCGAGCCATAGCAGTCATTTTTCTGGGGTTTCAGATGGAGACTCTGAAGAAAAGTTTGACATGGACGAAGGAACATTGGCGTGGAACTTGCTGATTTCTAGGCTATTTTTCGATCTCATACGGAAAACAGGAGTGAAGAATTCAGTTCAGGCACGAATCCAGGTCTGCATTTTCCATGATTCTTAAACCTTCCATGAACTCTGAATTAGAGATGAATTGATTTCTGTAACCAAACAAAGATGTAACTTCGTGGTTTTGAACAGCGGTTGTTATCCAACATGAGGACTCCGAGCTACATAGGCGAACTAATCTGCTCCAATGTTGACATTGGAAACCTCCCACCTCATATACATGGTACACGGGTTCTTCCAATGGAGATGAGTGGTGTATGGGCATTCGAACTAGATATTGAATACTCTGGTGAAGCGGTGATTGACGTTGAAACACGGGTTGACATCCGTGAGGTGGATTTGCAAAAAGGCATAACCGAAACAACGTTGCAGCCAAGTTCTGCAGGGGAAGTCCCGTCAAACCTCGTGGAAGGTGTTAAAGATTTTGAAAAACAATTAGTCATCCCTGTGGAAACTGTTGATGCAGGAGAGGGGAAAAATGGTGCAGCCAATAAAGCAGGCTAGTTCAACTTTTGCTGAATATGGATTAATGCAGTCATGTCTCGTTTTACCCTCAGAGATATTGCGAGCGTGATTCCTGTTCAAGAGTATTGCTCAGAATGATAATTAAGACTGAATTTTCTCAGTTTCTTTTTGTTGGTTGCAGATGAATCCAAGGGCACAAAAGGAATGAAGGCAGCTCCGAATGGTATATCCAGGTGGAAGTCTATTCTTAAAACCATTGCTGAACAAGTCTCCCAGGTTAATTCTCCTTTTTAAAATGTCTACAAGACAATTCTTTTCTGCTTGTTGGATTTGCTATAAATCTGTGATTGGGGTCTTAGGTCATTTCTTCCAGCGTTTCCTATCTCAGTCGATATGGTATCTTAGATTGTCTCTGTTTCTCAAATGCAGGTGCCTATCTCTTTGTCAATACGAGTGTCTTCTCTTCGAGGGACACTGCGGGTACACATGAAGCCACCTCCGTCGGATCAATTATGGTTTGGATTCACTAGCATGCCCGATATAGAATTCGATCTCGCATCTTCTGTTGGAGAACACAAAATCACCAGCAGCCATGTTGCAATGTTTTTGATCAACCGGTTTAAGGTACACTTTCTCCTTTGTGGTCTCTTCTGTTTCGTCTATAGTGAACTTTGAGCTTACAGAATGAGATAACACTGATTCTGCAGATTGCGATACGAGAAGCGGTGGTTCTTCCCAACTGTGAAAGCCTAACGATTCCTTGGATGATTGCTGAAAAAGATGATTGGGTTCAACGCAAAGCAGCTCCATTCATGTGGCTGAATCAGGAAAGTGATCACAATAGCTACCAGGCAACAGAGGGGAGATCTAAATCTGACAAGCCACCTACTTCTTCCTCCTGTATTCAGTCTGAGCAAATGCATAAAACTGCAAACGCCACCCAGAGGCTGGTTATTTCTGAAGGAGGGACTATGTCCTCTTCCTCCTGTGCTCAGTCTGAGCAAGTGCTGAAAGCTGCCAATGTCGTCCAGACACTGAATACTGAAGAAGAAGCTATGTCTACGCCATTGTCAAATTCAACAACCGTAAGAGTAGAGAGTGACAACTCCTTGGAAGAACTGAAAACTCCATTACTGCTACCCAGCAGCAGTGAAAAGCAGGAGACGAACGCAAGAGGCAGTACCAGAGACGTTACAGTTGTTCAATCACCATCTCGGTCGATAGTTTCAAGCGAAGAAGATGATTCAAGGGGAAAGAAACTGGGAAGAAGAGCAAGAATGTTGGATCTTGGGAAGAAAATGGGGGAGAAGTTGGAAGAGAAGAAGCGTCACATGGAGGAAAAGAGTAGACAGATTGTTGAAAAGATGAGAGGATCTTCTTAACACCAGGAAGCTCTTGCAGGTTTCAGATACAGAAACTAATTTATAGAAACAGAGGAAGGGAGCTCACGATTGTGTGGCATGTACAGTACCTTACCTTGAGAGAAATCCGTCGATGTCTCCATTTTTATACGGTAATTGACCACATTTTGGTGAAATCTTTCTTATTCAATAGGTACAATACAAGAAAACAGGTACTGGTCTGGACTCAATTATACATAGGAAGTTGGAGGAGAAAAAACCAAAGAGAAGAAAAATAACACAAGCAAACCAGAGATTCTTGATACAAAGAGAACATTGCACATGACATGACCGAGCTTAGTAGTCTTCTGGAGCCAACGGTTGGTGGGTACTGTGGTGAGGTGGTTCGTTCACGTTGGGGATGACCATGTACTCATAGATAAGTGCAGCTAGTGCACCGCCAATGAATGGTCCGACCCAATAGATCCAATGGTTATGCCATCTCCATCCCACCAATGCTGGACCAAAGGCTCTAGCTGGATTCATCGATGCCCCGTCGAATGGTCCTCCAACCAAAATGTTTGCCCCGACTATGAGCCCGATGGCTAGCGGCGCTATGATCCCAATACTCCCTCTCTTTGGATCAATTGCAGTTGAGTACACGACATAAACCAAGGCAAATGTAAGTATGATCTCCATCACTAGCCCATGAAGCTCGCTAACTCCAGACGCTACATGCAAACCTATTGGTCTCTACATCACAGAAAATCACATTCACTGTCAGGAGCATATATTTTATAGAGAGATCTATCAAGTGTCGGTCTAATCCAAAACCATTCCAAGAAAACAATCCAAAAATCTAACCGACAATACAAAATGATTCGGTAATCTAAACTGAGTGATTAAATCTTCAAATTTTTTTTTCATATCAAACATACAAACCTAACTGAAATCAAACTGAAAACTGAATTAGGCGATCATTTACATATTAGTAACATAGGACTGATGAGAAGTGATATACCAAGCCATCAGTGGCAAGCCTCAACAAGAGACAAGCGAGGATAGCACCAAGAAGCTGAGCAACCCAATAATAGATAGCTCGGATCACTGAGACCCTGCCTCCGACTAGAGCACCAAAAGTAACCGCCGGGTTCACGTGGCCACCGGAGATATTGATGGCTGCCGAAACAGCCGCGAACAGAGCCAATGCATGAGCTAACGCCACCAGAATTAACCCTCCCGGCGTGTTTGTCCCCGTGTCAGCCGCCGTGTCCCAATACAACTTGTCTGTCCAATAACACATATATAGTTCAAATCACACATGCATGATTATGCATGTTTCCAACCAAAATGTTTAATACCGAATGGATTTTTATATTTTCTTGTTTCTACAATTATTTTTAATTATTAAAACAAAAATCTTGTATAAATCTAAAAATGTTATATGACTAAGTTCTGATAAATAATTTTTCAAGTAAGGATGGCAATAATATTTGGCTGAAAACGTTTTTTTCTCCCTATGTATATATGTACGTACTACAAATTACGAACCTAGAGCGAGGAGGGAGCCTTCTCCAGCAAAGACGAAGACGAAAGTGGAAAGAAACTCGGCCAAAGTGGCTCTGATGGAGTCCGGGTGAGTCGCCTCCTCAGCTCTCCCGAATCCGTATGTTCTTCTAGCATATGTTGCCATTTATAACTCTCCTTCAAACCCTAACCAAAATGAGAAGATCAAACCTTGATTATGGATACAAAAGAAGGTAAGAGAATAAGAATTGAAGAGGGAGAGCTTAATAGAAGCTAAGTGGAAGTCATTAGGAGACAGATGTGATATGAGAGTGTCCGAAGCTAGACACGTGGTTCCTGTTCGTGTCTATCCATTCCTCGATCTTACCTGATCGTCTCAATCTTGGACACTTCCTTCATTATATATAGCAATGGCACTGTGTTTGTGTGTATGTGTATATCCATCATCCATGTTGTGACTATATATTTTGCATGTGTGACAAGTGGACCAAGTTATAATCCTCTAAATGTTGATCCGGTTTCGGTTTTCCTCGTCACTTATTTTGTCCTTTTCTATAATTAAAGCATTTCTCACATGATAATACAGTATATTACAAGCTTTTAGTAAGAACGAAAGTTTAGAGAGAAACTTGATTTAATTTAGAGAGATACATAAGAAGATTTTGGTCTACTTCTTTGGTTCTGGTGGTGGGGCCAAAGCGTTGATTGCCATCTTCATACCAGCAGAACTGTCTACAGGATTATATATCCCGATGAAATAGTTACCGCCAAAAACAACATTTATGTGTTAATACACATCAACTAATCCATTTAGGTATTGTAAAATGCATGAACCAATACACTCTCTTGGGGTAATTTCTTTGTTCTAACTTCTAACTTTAAAACATATATGGTCCAACTAAAACCAAAGTTAAAGGAGTTGATATTAGAACCGGGGAAAATGATAAAGATGTCAAAAAAGAAGAAGAAGATGTTATTCTGAATATGATTATTGCATGTGGCATGCATTGTGTACACTTTTACAATAATTGGAGCCAATCCTTTGATTTGATGGCCATTAATTTGCAGACCGCCCTAACAATCTTTAGGAATATATCCGACGAAATAGTTACCAAAGTAAACAAGTTGAAGCAAAATTATGGTTTACAAGATATATACACAGTCAGTCTTGAGTTCAGGCATAGGTTCACCGTTCACGACCCTCGAAAAATCAAAATCAGCTTATTTATAAAACCGTTTATTTCTTAATTAAATATGTACAAAACATCTCTTTTTCTCTAGTATATATTTTGGGTTAGAGTGGTGACCACGTTTAAACAGAACGGTTGCATAAAAGGTGGTTTGAAATAAAACGGTTAAAAACAATGGTTAGAAAATATGGTATGGTAACAGGACATAGAATAGTTCAAATATATAAGCTTGATTGGTAGCATTATAGCGGTTGAATAGTACAATTAGATATGTAATATAGTTTTGCTTAAATGATTTTTAAAAATATATTACATTAAAAAATAGGGAAATTGCAAAGAATTCGAGCATAATTAGTCAGATGACAATACACTGTAAGCAAATTTTATCTCGATTTTAGCCCTAAAAATCTAAACACCTAGTAGAATATCATTACATGTTTTCTTTAGATACGATGTCAGAGAGGTTTGATACAATCATTATAGTTTTGAATCCTTACATCTCTATATACACGCCCCCGAGGAGAAAGAGATAATATTAAAATAGTTTTGAATCTTAGATATTTTATCTCAGCTTGAAATTGAATTATTAACAGCCTAACTTTTCCTTTTATCCTTATTTCTATCAAAACCCTCGTTTCTCAAGATCTACTCAAGATGGCTCATCTAGAATTACCGAATCGAATTTTGCGGTGGGCGAAGAACCAATTGGGCATAGGGTGAACTCATACCATAAGACGAAGAGGCTCAATTCGATTTTGAATGCTTTGGGAGAAGAAGAGAGGGAAGCTTTGAAGTCTTCTCCGTTTGGGAAACTCATCTCGACGGCTGAGAAACCATCATAATCCGGCAGCTTTGGTCAGAATATCATTACGCGAATGCTTAATGTTAAGAA